GGAGGGAGCAGGAAGGGGAAGGAGGGGAAAAGGAGAGGAAGCCGGGGGAAAAGGAGGAAGAGGAGAAGGAGTTGGAGGAGAGGCAGGAGGAGGAGAGCGGAGGAAGGAGGGGGAGGCAAGGGGGGGACGGGGAGATGCGTAGAGGAAGGAGGCCGGGGAGAGGGCGAAGGGGAATGGGGGAGGGGAACGGGGAAGGCGGAGGAGGAGGAGGAGGAGAAGGTGTTAAAGCATGAGGTGGAAGTTGGGGAAGAAGAGTTAACGACACTAAACATTAACGCAACCATGTGGCTCAAGCATTTGAACCGTGGAGCTGTCGTCTTTGCAGGCGACGAAACACATCACTCCAGCTACTATGCTAAATCTTCCAGCAGATTTTGTATTGTAGCGGAGCGTCGGTTGCAATGACCGGATTTGGATCAGCTTTCTTTACCCCAGGCCCGCAGGATTTTGTTGAATTTCGCGTATTTGTGGCCAGGGAGGTTTGGATTAATTTAGACCCTCAGAGGTGCAAGCCCCACTTTAAAAGCGGGAGCCCCATTTTGAACAGGAGCCGCCCTCCATCCGAACAAGTATTTGATAAACGATTGGGCTACACAAAGCATCACCTGTGCCAGGACCCGAAATACAATGACGCCACTGCGAAGATCTTGTGGGGGAAACGGATGGTCAAGCGGATGGGAAACAGGTGGCGTGGTACGATACACACTGACAGTGGCGAACGACAGCGGTGAGCAAATATGGTGAGGAAAAGGTTGAAAGTTCACTAACGGTTTTTCGTGCCAGAATCAATAGAGCTCAGAGCTCGAACATCCAAGATGGACGCTGGTTTTGAAACCCGTGCAATGACGCTTACAGTACAAACAAAACGGTAACATATGTTGTTCTTCGTGGTTCCCACCACACGACGTTTTTGCCGGCAACGGCTCGCAGGCGCCTCTACCAGGACAGTCTCGCCAAGATCAGCCTGTTCTTCGAACAGGACATATTTCACTAATTACGGGCTCTGCGACCCAACGGGATCATGTGGGCCCACCCTCGTCCAGCAAAGGGGGAGGTCGAGGAAAGTATAGAGTTGTTGTGGGGGATGTTCCGGCTGATTCCTTTGAGGCACGCCCAGCCTTGGCAGGAATTGGTACGACGAACCCGCAGGTTTCACCCGCGATGCAAGGCACAGACGTCCATCGTGAACGTGAACGCCAAGGTCTTCCACTCTAGCGGCCTCGTCTTGAAACGCTTGCGCCCGACTCCAGCTTTCGACCACCACCTACCGACTCTCTGCCTCCACCCACTGGCCTCCAACCTGCACCAATCCAGCATTCCCACCTACAGCATATGACTTTCCGGCCCCACTTCCACGTTTCCACCTCCAACGTGCAGCATTCCGTTATCCAACCCCCAGCAGCCGACCTTCTTCTTCCACTTCCACCTATCGACCTCAAGTTTCCACCAGTTCAGCATTCCGACCTCCAGCAACAAGCATCCGACTTCCACCTTCACCTACACCTATCGATTCCGACTTTCCACTTCCACATCCACATCCGACGATCGACCTCCAGCCACAATCGACTTAGCATTCCGCCACCGAGCCTCCAGCTTCAACGAGGAATCCTTGTTACCACCACCGCCTGCGCGCAACGCGCCTCAATGTTACCAGCAGCCCGCTGAGATTTACGGGCGTGCTCACCATTCCGCGGCACTCATCGAATCGTCAAGGGTCTCCACCTGAACGTTGAAGTCCTTCCTGTTGTCGATGACCGCGGCGAGCTGGCCTGCCAAGTTCTACTGCTGGTTGACGAGACTATCGTTGGCGCGACTGAGGTCCATGAGGTCCCTGTTAGGTTGGTCGCGCTCATTGGTGAAGTCATCTTCAATAAGAGCGGCCTGCTGGCGCGTTGCTTCCTTTTCATTGCGGTAATGCGTCATGGCCGCGTTGGCTTTCTAAGCCAGAACATTGACGTTCTTGTGAACGGCCTCGGCGAAGGTGCTGAGCTCCCGCACGTTGCGTTCCACCTCGTTAATGGCTTGGCCCGGCGCGGCGCGGCGCTGACCGCGCGCCCGTCGATCGCGATGCGATGCGTCTCCTGGGCCATCGTTAATTAGACCCGCGGGGAAAGGAAAGGGGTGGTAGTTGGCCGTCTCGCGACAAGATCGCCGCTCCGCCTGCTCCTCCAGCAGCCCTTCCCACTGCCTTCGCAGCTCCGGGGCCGGCCGTTGCCGATGGCCGCAGCAGTGACAGCGGGGGCGCCCCCCTGGAGGCCCCCACGCTCGGGGGAGCCAGCGGGATTAACGAGCCAACTCAGCCAGCTCAGCCTGCCGCTTCAGCGCGGGGGCCAGCAAGGAGCGCGTCGCCGAAGACCGAGGACGAGCGCCTCGCCAATGTCGCGAAGGATGTCGGCAGCCAGGATATCAGCGAGGTCAATATGTTGGCGGAGAACGTCATCGGGCGGCCTAGTTACCGCCCGCTGATCGCCTGCGCCAAAGATCCGCAGTTTCACAAGGCGGGGAACGAGTTCCTCGGCCCCAATGACATGGCCGAGCCAGGTGGCCCTCATTAGCTTACCATGGCGGCCAGGCACTTTTGGCGCGAGTGGTCTGGCGATTGGCACATCGGCGCTGAGCGCAGGCCAATGACATTGGGGGGGGACCTCCGACCGCAACAGCGTTGACCAGCATCGCCCGTTCGAGCGCGTCTTTGGCCGCCGCGGTATCGGCGCATTACCGATGGGCGTTTTAGTGGGCCCTGTCACCTGGTTCGACGCTCTCCCAGCTCGCCGCGAGATGGAGCATGGGCGTTGGGTCGATGACGCCGCGCACATGCAGTCGCTGATGCAAAATTGTCATCGCGGCGTTTCGAGCAGCGGTGGGCTTAGCAGGGCTGGTCACAAGACGCAGCGGCGCCCGACACTCAGGTGCACGTCGGCGGGTTACCCGAGATGAAGAAACTTGGGCTCATGAAGCCCTTTTCAAAAGTTGTTTGGCATGCTCTGGCCGGGCCACTGCGCCACCGTGTCCGTCGGCGCCCTCGCCGTAGATTCCAGCGCCAACCATGGTGAAACATCAAGCGACACGGCGGTCATGATATTCATTGCTGAGGAGCTCGCGATGATGCCCCTTCAAGTGGAGAGTGCAGTCCACATTTCCTACAAGCAGCACCCTGCCCATTACCACCAAGGTCTTAACGGGCAGGACGCGGCTATTATTGGGCCAGCGCCCGCGGGGGTGGCACAGCGCTCGGCTAAACGGGGCCCCGACTCTTGAACGCGAGTTGCGGGGCATTAGCAGGGTGGACTTTCCCCGTCGCAATGTATTTGGCCGCGGGCACAAGCACCATGATATCCTTTTTTGGGCAGGCCTGTTCCTCTCCGTTCGACTTCGACCAGTAGGTTGTCGACGGGCAGCGCTGGCTGGTTGACCTGCAGAGTGGGCGCGATCAGCAGGGCGACAAGAAGAGCATCCATGTTTGTCACAGGGCGCGGCTTACTGGGCAGCTCTAGGCACTTGCCAACCCGATTTGACCCTTCGTCAGGGATTGGGGGCCTTGGGACAACGACGAGGCGAGTGGCCTGGCGTGAGGCGACGCCATTTACATGACCAGCGCCCAGAAGGAGAGCCGCAACCCCTGTTGCCGCGAGGGAAATCCGGGCCGCCATGCCGCGCGGAGGCGCGCAGGGAGGGCGGCCTCGCGGCTGCCGAGGCCCCCGTAATTAACGAGCCACCTGGTAACTAGCTCACCTGAGCATTTCTGCGTTGGGACGGCATTGACGATGTCGGACTTTCTCCCGTCCTCGTTTCATTGCCTCTTGGGTCTGGCCAGCTCAGTGGCACATGCATTTGAGATTATTTATTTGTTGACGGAGAGCATGGAACATACAAAACGAAGGCAGCCATGATCATCCTAAGGATAGCTTTGCGCAGAACTTTGCAGCATCATTCCTAAATACTCCGAGTTCTACGCGCGCCCGAGTCTAACGTGTACTCTAGCTGGCACGGGGAACGCTTCGCTCATTTCCGCCGACTTGTGCTGTGCCATCGCAGGCGTTTGCCTGTGCGTTCGTGGCCTCTTGGGGCTTATAAGGGGTCAGTTGCGGGGCCTCTTGGGGTCTCTTTTTGGGCTTCTTGCGGGCCTCGTGGGGCCTCCGGGGGGCCTCCTGGGCTCCCTTGGGGGCCTCTTGGCGCCTCGTGGGGGCCCACTGGGGCGGAAGAAGGCTCGGATTGGTGGTTCGTGTTCCTCCTTTTGGGCCCCTCTTGGGGCCGTCTTGGGGCCCTCGTGGGCGATCTTGGGCGCCTCTGCGGCCGTCCCGGGGCCCTCTTGGGGGCCTCCAGGCCGTCTCTGGGCGGTGTTGGGGCATCTGGGGACATCTTGGGGCATCGGAAGCCCGCAAACGCGAGAATGCGAAAAACACCGGACAACCTTCGGACAATCAATGATATTTGCCTCTTGGGGCTCTTTTGACAGGCCTCTTGGAGGCCACTTGGGCGACTTGATGCCTCGTGGGCCGTCTGGAAGCCATTCAGGGTGTCTCGGACGGATCGTTCGACGATTCGGAGCCCTTTTGGACCGATTTGGGCGCCTCTTCGGGCCCACTTGGAGCGCTCTGGGGCGCTCTGGGGCGCCCAGGCGGAAAGCCATCCCTGATCTGCACTGCCCGGGGACCGACCGGGGACCTGCAGTGGTACTTTTCGTCCGGGGACCCCCAGGGGCGGCCCCGCGCGCGCGAACTAGACATATTATTAAGCTGTTGCCGGAGATTTTAGCACGCCTCTGGCACATTAGGCCGGCGAATTCAGGCACGTGTCCCCATAGTTGCCGAATTGCATTATCGACATTCTCGCCGTTGGTCTAATTCCAGTACCAACCGAGGGTGGGCTAAAGCATGTAGTGGCAATTGGAGATGCAGGGTGAATGCCAGCGGGAGCATTATCGCAACCATTTGGCTCAAGCATTTGAACCGTGGAGCCGTCGTCTTTGCCCGCGGCTAAGAGCATCGATCCAGTTACTAAGCTAAAGTATCCCAGTGATTTTGCAGGAGGACAAGGATGGGAAGGAGGAGGAGGAATGGGAGGAGGAGGAAAAGGATGAGAAATATGATGATGATGATGATGATGATGATGATGATGATGATGATGATGATGATGATGATGATGATGATGATGATGATGATGATGATGATGATGATGATGATGATGATGATTCATGATGATGCTGATGATGATGCTGATGCTGATGCTGATGCTGATGCTGATGCTGACGATGACGATGACGATGACGATGACGATGACGATGACGATGGTGCTGATGATGATGATGATCATGATGATGATGATGATGATGATGATGATGATGATGATGATGATGATGATCATGATCATGATCATGATGATGATGATGCTGATGATGATGATCATGAAGAGGAGGAGGAGGAGGAGGAGGAGGACACGTACGGGGGAAGTGGAGGAGCAGGAGGAACATAATGCGGAGGAACAGAAAGATGCGGTGGATAATTGGGGGCAGGGGGAGGCAGAGGAGATGGATAACGGCTTGGGGGAGCCGATGGGCGAGTCGGGGAGCCATTTGATCACGGTGCCATCAGGTTCGTGATCATTTCCGCCACCGTCTTTCCCGTCGGTCTTTTCTACTATCTGGCTGCGTGTTGTTGTCAAGCTGCCCATTCGTTCCATGTGGCGGCAGTCATCGAACCACTTCATCCTCATATTCAAAAATCAAAGCTTCAACTTTGATTTCTTCCCGGTCATTGGTGCCGATACAGATGAGGGGGAACGTTGATTTGCAGGCGCGCATATCTCAAGTCGGATTGCCAAGAGCGTACGAGTGAACGCGCCTAAACGTACGTAGCATGGTCACCCGCCCCAGTCAAAAGTCATGCGCATGCATCTGCATATTCGGCGAACTAGACACTCGTTACACGTGCATGCACAGTTGTAGACGCCAGAATCTGCAGAATGTTACGTGGGTGGGCTGTGCTCATGTGTGTGCGGGCGTGCGGGTCGACCCAATCATGCTCTCATTAGTTGGGCGTGGTGGCTTGGCCACTCGGGCTGCATGCGGAGACGATTCACGGGGTAGGATTGGTGTCCGAGATGTCGGTGGTCGATTTGGTACCCGTGATGATGGCGAGAGGCTTCCCTGTCGGCATCGGGCTGAGGCCACCCCCGTGATGTGGACGAGGAGGAGTGCGTGGATGAGGTTGCTGGGCCGAACGCGCTGGCCAGGCCCGACGAAATAACTAGTTCATCTTCGATTCTGTGCTGCGGTCCCAGATCATGGGATTGCGCGGCAGGAGAGAAGCGTGGGACCGCCTGATTTCGACGCAGGCGCAGTGGAAGAGAGCATCGCAGAAGGCCGCCTACCCCACCAGGCGTCAGTGGCGGATGCCAGACGGCAGGTGAAGGCTTGTAGGTCGGGCAGGGGGGCGGGGCTTCAGCAGGGGTCCGTCCACGCAGCTTCGGGAGAGACCCTGCTCTTTTACCCACTCGCTTCTCGGCTCTCTTCGGCTGTTGGGTGGAGGGGAGTCTCGAAGGAGTGGTTTGGGTTCTCGAGGATGGCGTCCGGGGAGGGGGAGTGAGCAGTGTCTGGTGTAGCACATGGCCCTGGACAACTCTGCGGCCATGAGAGGGGCGGGGCGAAGAGCCGAGGCAGGCTACTGTACATATGCAGGTCGTTGTAGTCGGTGATCAGGCACCTGGAACGGGCGAGGGCGAGGGCGATGCTGATGCGGCTGAATTTGTCGAGGATGCCAAGTCCGTGGTGGGGTTCGTGCGGGGCTAGTAGGAGGATAACTCTTGTCCAGAGCTTTCCGGAACGCTCTCGGAACGCTCTGAGAAAGCTGCAGTTCCCGAGTCATCCTCCAGAGCAGCCAGATCTCAGAGATTCTCGATCTATCCCCACCCGAATGTATCTTCGTCCTGGCTTCGTCTTACGAGTGGGCTAGGAAGACGAGAGTCATGTGTGGCCAGCTGATCAGAGAGATGCACACGCACAAGTATGCGTGCTTTCATGCGAGCGATCGCGCATAGAGGCACACACACACACTCACACACATGCACGTGCGTGGAACTGCACCAGCACGCACAGCGACGCTCACATCCGCATCCACCTGTAGACGCGCTTGCGCACGCGTGTTTTGGTGGGTGTACTTTGCACAATGCAGTGACGTTCTGAAGGCCACCTGCGCGCTCCGCTGGCAGTCTCCCCCTCGCGAACCCCATGGCCTGGCGCATTGCACTCGGTACTGTTCAGTCTGAGTGCGCTCCCGTATCACTAGTTTCTGTCTGCGGAGTACTGCCCTCCACGCGACTGGCCTTTGCTTCTGCCGCGTGCTAAGCGGTACTGCACCCCGTCGTGGCAAATGGCTGTTTTCTTGGAGCCTTGCGCGCACTGCGTTCCGCCACCACTGCAGCAGAAGGCGTGCGTTCCGAACCGTTCGCGGCCGCATGCGACCGAGGTCGCGCGTGTTGGGGATCGCGACCCGCCGCATGCAGGAGCCGCGGCGGCCGCGGAAGTGCATCGCCGTCAGAGGTATTCGTGGGAGCAGCGGTGTTGTGGGCGGCAAGGAGACGAACGGAGGGCGGGGATGAGGCGGAAAGAGACGCAAAGTGGTAGAGAGGGAGAGAACAAGAGAGAGAGAGAGAGACAGACAGACACACACACACACACAACACACAACACACAAACACAAACACAAACACAAGCACAAACATAATCACACACATACCCATACATTCGTAATCACACACAAACACACCCCACAACACACGACACACACCACACAATACACAGCACACAACACTCAAGACACGACACACAACACGCACATCACAACACCTTACAAAACATACATCACATAACCTTCAACACTCAACACACAACACACACCACATAACACACGCTGCATACCACTCAACACACGCCACACAACACACAACACACACCACACAACACAACACACAACACACCGCACACCACAACGCACAACACATAACACACACCACACAACACCACACACCACACACAACACACCACACATCACACAACACACACTACTTACCGCACAACACAAGGGAATCCAGCACGGGCGAGTGAGAGAGATATAAACAGAGATAAAGTGTGTAGTGGTAGAGTGAGTGAGTGAAAGGCCGACATATGCGGAGAGAGAGAGAGAGAGTGAGCGACAGAGAGGCAGAGAGGGGAGAGGGAGGGAGGGAGGGACAGAAATAGAGAGGGGGGGAGAGATCCAGGTAGGGAGAGGGACAGTTGTATAGAGGGATAGGGGGATAGGGAGAGAGAGAGAGAGAGAGGGCGAGCAAGCGAGCGAGGGAGCGAGCGTGGGGGGATACACACGCGCATACGTACGTGTCTATATCTATGTATCTATACATATATATATACGTACACACAGAGATGTCTTCCCATTGCGACGGCTCCCCGGGGTCACTATCCGATCCAGCCGATCAGCCGATCAGCCGACCAGGCCCCAACCAGCCGATCAGCCGATCAGCCGAGCCGATCAGATCCCATCTGGGACCTGATCGGCTGATCAGCGGTTTGGCGCCTGATCCGCTGATCGGCTGATGGGCTGGTTGGCGCCTGATCGGCTGATCGGGGATCGGCTGGTTTGCGACTGATCGCCTGATCGGCTGATCTATCACACTCGCCCCTTTGTGGTCAGATTGGGGATGTTTCGAGCGAGGCGCCGGTTTGGCGCTGTCCTGTGCGACGTGATTACCCGAAGGTGGAGCCACCAGGATGTATTCAACTCGCCCGTTCGCTGCCAGATTGCGGGGATGTCCCATGCGAGGCGCTCGATTGGCATCCCTGTCTCCACTGCATTCAGAGCCCCACTCCCGAACAATTGTGTTCGAGATCTTTACATCGAGAGAGGGGGAGACAGAGACAGAGACAGACATAGACGTGGAGTGATGGGGGTAGCATTTAGACAGCTGCGCGGAGCCAATTTGCCACCGCCTCGGGGTGCGCAATCCCGCCCGTGCGCGTGTGACGTCTTCCGCCTTGAGCGGGCGACTAATCCTGCCTCTCCCCTCCCTCGCCGTCGTCCCGGCCCCTCCCGCTCACAGGGGGAGGATTTGAAGGGAGATTCGAACCTCCCTCTTTCTCCTCACACTTCATGTTAGCGTGCGCCCGAGTTCTGGAATAAGGTGAGGAAGAAGAGGGTGAGGACGAGGACGAGGGTGAGGACGAGGGTGAGGAGAACGACAAGGATGAGGAGGAGAAGGAGGAGGAAAACGCGGCAAGCTTTCGCTTCAAGTCCGGGCGACGGCGAAAACGAGGAGGATGACGAGGAGGAGGAGGAGGACGATGACGAGGAGGATGATGAGGAGGAGGAGGAGGAGGGGGAGGAGGAGTTGGAGCATGAGCAACTGCAGGGAGAAGACATGAGCGTTGAGAAATTCTTCGTGCTTCGCGTATCCACAGCATCCCGCCCCTCTTCCTAATTTTTTTGCAGGTGCACTTCGTGCGTTCTCGCGCCAATTATCTGTCGCTGTGCCCCAGCCTCGGTCATACCGCCCTCTGGACTTCTCCTTGCGGGCCGCAAATCAAAAAAAATATCCACAGCAGCCAGTCGGTATACCGGCTCGGCGCCACCCTGGTCACATCCCGGTGTATCCCGCGCGCCATTTTGGCTGCGCCCCAGCTTCGGTTGGCTAATTCACATGCGCGCTTCCCTGGGTTGGTTCCCTGGCAGCTGCAGCCAAATCGCACACCTGGTGTCTCAGCGGTTGGTCAATTCGCTGCAGTTCAATTCACACCTGGTGGCTTGCTCTCAGGTTGTCGCACGCTTGCAGCCCCTGGCGGCCCCGGCAGCCCGCAGCCCCTCCCCCGGCAAGTCTTGCCGTTCCAGCTCTGAGGCTTCGGCGGTAGGTCCTGCTCTGCTCTGCGCTGGTAATTCGGCCCTCGCGCGGCCCGCTCGGCCCCTACTCGCCGTCGGCGCGCCCGCCTTCGGCTGCTAACGGAAAAAGTATCCCCGGCAGCCCCCTCTCGTTTCTCTATGTATGTGGAGGCCGTGAGGTTTCATTGATTTCGGGCTCGGCTAACTTAGCTGGATAATATGTTATGAACGCCCGTTTTCTCGCCGTTTTGGCTGCCGCATGTTTGCTGGGAGTTCGTGGCTGCCGGTTCTTCAAGGACACCCGTTTCGGCAAGTGCGTCCTGAGGAATTCGAGTTGCTGATTATCCAACGTGCGTGGTCGCTTCCGCACGCCGTACCTGCGTCACTAATTGGCACCTCAGTGGGCACGCGCTGCGGCGCAGCTTTGTTTTTGGATCGGCGTGACTCTGATGCTGTTTTGTGACACCTCGCGCCATTATGGCCGCGTTGGCCCCTGTTCCGCTCTGAGCCGGGCACCGCTCGCCTCGCTGTTTTCCCCTTTGCTTCGGTGCGGCCCGCCTTAGCTTGTTCGGCGTTCGACTCGTTTTCGCGCGCCCGTGACCAAAGCAATATCCACAACAGCCCATTCACAAACCGGCAACAGGACGAAGAAACACATGTAGTGAATCAAACAGCGGGCAACTTGGGTGAATTGGATGGTCTCTGGAGCAAGGGGTTGGCCATGGAAGGCCTCTTCGGACCGCCCCTGGGGCCCGCGCGAGGAAGCGTAGGAGGAGGACGAGGAAGAGGAGGAGGAGGAGGGCGAGGAGGAGGACGAGGACGAGGACGAGGACGAGGACGAGGAGAAGGAGGAGACGGAGGACAAGGACGACCACGACGACGACGACGAGGAAGACGAGGGAAACGCAAATGACAACGATGAGGGCCAGGACGAGGGGGAAGGGGCGGAGGAGGTGGAGGACACCGATGACGAGGACATCGCCCTTGAAACCGCCTATAGCATCCCTTGTGGGGGTTCTTTTGGGAATATTTGGGTTTTCTGGGAACTCTTTCGGGGGGTCATTGGGCCCTCGCGGGGGCCTCTTGGGGCTCTCATCGGGGGCTCTTGGAAGCCCTGGGTAGCTTCTTGGGGCCGTCTTCGAGCTATCGATCAAAAAGGGCGGGGGGGTCTTCGATTTGCCCCCCCCCCCCCCCTCCCCCAGGGGCCATCGAACTCGCCTTTTGGGGCCCTCCTGTGCGCTTTGGGGGCCGTCTGGGGGACCCCCATTGGGCCCCTGTCGGGCCTCTCCTGATTCATCAGGATGTCGAAGTGTGGGCGCAATTCCGAGTAGATGGTGACCCAATCCTCGTCCTCGCGCGCGGATGTGGCAAAGTCCTCGACAGTGAATTCGCGCGGCCTGAAATTGTCCAGCTTACGCATCAAATTACTGATGGAGTACAAGACGTTTGGGTACGTCGCATTCCCTTCTTCCTCCAGCTTGGACTTCAGCCTGAAGACCTGCTTCTGCATGTAACTCGCACGACGTGCAAGCGTAAACGATGCGCCGTCTTCAAGGACATGACCAACAACATCATACTCCTTATCACTCAGCGTGACGTGAAATTCAGTATCGCCCTTTCCCACATACTCGTACGCAGGAGTTCGTAACGCCGGACAGTCCGAACGGCTCCCCATAGCCACCTGGAACTTGGAACATTGGCCACCAACCGCATTCTTGCTTCCATGTGAAAGTCCACCTCCGAAAAGTGGGTCTTCAAGAAGAAGTGCAACCCCAAACCTTTTCAGGGGGAGCCGGAACATGCACAATGGAGTACGGGCCATTGTGGCGGTGCGACGTGTGAGGTGCAACGGCTCGTTTTGATGTATGATATATATATAATATATATTATATATATATATATATATATATATTGTTGCGTTGTGTTGTTGTGTTTTGGTTTGGTTTGTTTATCTATATACACATATGTATATATATATACATACATACATACATTTTTATAGACACACACACACATATATATATATATATATATATATATATATATATATATATATATATAAAAATCGGCGGAAGGGGATCGGGGCCGCCAGGCCGGGACCTGCGCCCACCATGGTCGTTCCGGGGCTCCGGGGGCGCTGCTGTCCGGGCCAAGAGGCGGCCAAGACGTGCCCAGGGAGGCGCAAGTGACCCCCAAACCGGTCCTAGACGGCCCCGGGGCGCTCAAAGATCGCCCCTGGACGCTCAAGATGGCTCCCATTGTGCCCAAGAAACCGCTACAACGCCCGAGGCTCCCAATACGGCCCAAAAGGAGCCCAAGACAGCCCAAGAGGCGGCCAAGGCGTGCTCAAGAGGCGGCCAAGACGTGTCCACGGAGCGCCAAGAAGCTCCCAAATCGGTCCAAGACGGCCCCAGGGCTTGCAAATATCGCCCCCGGACACCCAATATGGCTCCCATAGAGCCCCAGAGGCCGCTACGACGCTTCAGGAAGCTGTCCAAAGGAGCCCCGAGCGGCCCAACTCATTGATTCTGCATCGGAAAACGTGCATCTTTAGCATCTGCAATTACTCGGTCTTCAAGGCGCGCACGAGGGCACAAGAGGCCCCAAAAAAGGCCCCAATAGGCTACCAAGACG